TGGATGTTCATATAGTTAGTTATGATTGCAAACTAAGGATGATAAGATAAGAGAAATATCCAACGAAATTAGAGGTAGGTATTTGGGATAATATCAGTAGCACTACATAGTATAAAAAAAAATTCGCTTTCTGTGTCCCTATAAGTCTATGTATGTTTAAATCTTTAAAATTACGCATCGACTTTCGATAGTTTTTTTTTTTAAAACAGTGATTGAGGAAGAGTATTTATCATTATGTAAAATATCATCTAGGTATTAAGAAGTGGAGAAATTTAGCATCAGCATTGCACGTGCGGAGCCGGTGCTGGTCACTTTTGACATATCTTCAACTTTCAAGACTTAATGGTAGGCTGTCCCTAACAGTCAAAAATTCTGCAATGTGATTGTTAACGAAGCAAAATTGTCGGATGTCGACCACAGATAGTAGAAATTCTTTGCGTAACGTATAACTCAATTAGTCTACAATCTTCATTTTCCAGAATGTAGAGATAAACTCTACCTTAAACTAAATGTCTAGGTTTAGATAGACCTATTGAGATTATATTATATTATAACAATGCAGTTATCATTAGGAGACTATCAATATCAACATACTAGAACATGATTCATTACATTGTTTCTAAGATGGGTCATCGAGAAAGAGATATGTATTTCCGTCCACGTTTCACTAACATAAGATATAATATGTAGTATATGAACCGCGGCCCCGGTTCGGAGCACAAGAAGAAGCGGTTTTTTCTCCTCCCATCCAGAGCGGGATAAGATATTACATGATATTCCACACCTCAAAAAAAGGTGTACATACTCCGATAATTTTTGATAAGGAATCAAATTAGAAGTAAAAAAAACAACTTAGCTTTTTATTTATAAAATCTTATAACAGATTTGAAACAATATAGTATACTTTTCATGATGTCAAATGTTTTTTTCTGACATGCCTATCATGATGGAAATTAAATTAGAAGAAAATCTTATTGCAGGGCAACGATTTATTCGGGAGACGATCTTCGGCCACCGCGGGTCTGCGGACGGCGATTAAGGGTTGCTCGCGTGCCTCAAAGAGCCAATAGACCACCACAGACGGGGTCCTATAGGGCTGATGTTCAGCCTGGCCTAGAGCAGGAGAAGGAACGGGGGGGTTTTTAGTTAGTAAGAGTCTGACACTCTCTCTCGCTTTACCCTGGACGGGAAAGGTCATTTGAAGATATTGAAGGGCAACGATTTATTGAGAAAAAAAAAACTAAATAAACAAAATTCTAAATGGGCGAAGTGCACACACAAACAAGAGGCAAATCTAAAATATTACACTGAGTTTTAAATTGATACTTCTTAGTAAAATACATTAAAGGATAATGGGAAACTCGTTAGGTCTAACTATCTCATGAATAAAGTTATTTAACCACTACGGATATGTTAGTAAACTTGCTCATTGCAAGTCGTCACGTATGAACAAAACGTTATCGACATTGTAACTAACAATGGTTCTAGATCCATTATCAGGGGACATAATGAAACGTTTTTTTACACTATGGCGACCTTCAACAGGCCACGATGTAGCTGACATCCAATTTATTTTTATGATACTTTGGTTCATTTGTTGGTTGATATCATTTGATGATTTTGTCAGTTGTCATGGTAGAAAAAGAAAATGTGTGTTAGTATGGACTGGTTCTCTTCTACTAGGAGTTTAAAAAGTTTATTCTCAGGGTCCATATTTTTGGGGCGTCCCTTTGGTCATCTATAGGATAAATATATACCAATAAGAGTATATTTCCCGTTTTCGTTGTTTACAAACATATCATTTAAAATACACACGACACCCAAAACCTGAACAACATTTTGTTAATCACACAGAGTTGTTCAGTGCAGGTATTGACACATGGCAAGCGGTTGCCCAGAAATTTTTAAAATTTTGCAGTTATTTTCTTACTAGAAAACCGATGAGATATTAAATTCTTGAATGAATGATCGTGACCTTGAAATATCTATGGGTTACGGGGTCAAATAACTCATGATAATTACAACAATTATAATTGAATCAATAGCTTAAGCTATACTGGTAGAGGTTGCATGCAAGGTATACTACTGCTAGTCACGTAGTCTAGGCAGTTGCAATTATTAAAGTAGACCAAATTACAAGGTCATGATAAGTACATTTTTCGCGGATCTGCGGACATTGAGCAAAGGTAGCTCGCCCGCTGAACCAGACCCGAAAATACGGCGAGTAGCTTCCGCACACGCCTCAAAGACACTGTAGAACACCAGGCCAACACCGGGGCCAACGCAATAAGGTATCGCGGCCTGGTGCAGGCGAAGGAACGGGGGTTTTTAGTCAGCAAGAGTCTGACACTCCCCCTCGCCTAACCCTGGGAGAGAAGTAATTTGATGATTTTACCCCTCACAAAAAAGGCTAAGGCCGTAATTGTATTTTGACATCTTACATTTTATTAACAGACCATCTTCAAAACATGAGACTGATAGCAATTCAAAATTGACACTTCAAGTCAATAAAGGCACCCGAGCGTACGACGCGTAGCGTTCCGCGCGCGAATCAAAGAGCTAATAGACCTCCACAGACGGGGCCCTATATGGCTGATGTTCAGCCGGGGTTGCAGGATAAGCGCAATGAGACACCGCGACCTCGGCCCAGAGCAGGTGAAGGAACGGGGGTGTTTTAGTCAGTAAGAGTCTGACACTCCCTCCTGGCCGACCTTGGGTGGGAGAAGTAATTCGATGATTTTTCCCCTCATAAAAAAAATCATTAAAGGCAAAACATAAAAAAATGTGGGAGAAATTTACGACTGAAACGCCCTCTACGAACGTTTAATATTGAAAAAGTAAACAATAAAATATGTTTCTTAAAAAACTTAAATACCGTGTAGTCGTCTCCAAGTCGCCATTAAATTGCCATTATGCTAAGTCATTGCCAGTGAAAAAAATATGATCGTTGAAGTAGTCTGCTGTACAAACATTGTGTAGCTAAACATTAATTTTGTTTTTATGAGGTCGATGTTACTGGAATCGAGAGATGTAGGTTTGTATATAAAAATTATGATGTAATCCAATGAGCGACCTACGCTTAAAATATAATTGAATATACTAAAACGGGTATTAGTTTTGTTAATCGAGTCGCCCCAAGATAGACGACCAAGATTTTAAACTTCGAAATCTTGGGCTTATTTAAGGACAGTCATTCGTGTATCCCCAGTTTATTGGGTCTGTTCTTCCATTTGGAGTTTAATAATATAGTCCGAACTCTATCCTTAGGAGTCATTTCATTAGTTCATAAAAAACGGCGCACGTAAAGGGGAGTTGACAAAGTGGGACATGGTGTGACAAGGGATGGGAGGGGTCCTAAATTTCGTGACATCACATTTCATAATCTAATATATCTAGAGTGCCAATTCATGTGACGTACTTTATGTATAGCCCCTTATTTGTGAACGAAAATTGTTTTTGTTTGTTACTACTGATTTCTGATAAGTTCACTGATTAAAACTATAGTGTGACTAGTTAGATGTTAAGCCTTCATTCAAACTCTACGGACATTTACCCCATGGTACAAGGCCAATTTTCAAAAGCAGAGCTCTTAGTGTGGGAGAACCATGCTTCGGCACGAATGGGTCGACTCGACCGGAGTGATACAACTGCCTCATAGAAAACCAGCGTGAAATAACCACAATGTTGTGTTTCGCCGTGTGAGTGAGGTTACCGGAGGCCCAATCCTTCCCCTTCCCAACCCCTCCCCAGTTCCTAAATCTCCAAATCCCTAATCCCTAAAAGGTCGGCATCGCACTCGTAACTCCTCAGTTACGGGTGTCCATGGGCGGCGCTGATTGCTTACCATCAGGTAATCCGTCTGCTCGTTTGCCGACCTATTACATAAAAAAAAACCTCAATATTTTAGATAGAACTTCGGTCAGCCATTTGGTGTTATACAAAATTACGCATAGCACATAAACAAAAAACAAAACACAACGAAATCTTCTTACTAAAAATAATACGTTCAAACCGGTTTTAAGATGTCCGTCGCAGTATTAGATAATACTTACATATAAATATTAAGACGATTCCAACACGTTTAATTACATATAAACAGTTGTATGTTTTAATTGCAATGTTGGAATCTAGTGTCAAGGACTTTTGTTAAATGGTCGGGCTGAATTCCTTCTGCAGGAACTTGTTACAAAGTTGACATGAATGAGCATAGAGTGAGGATAAAATTCTATATTACATAAATGTATACTTATTTGAACACAAAGGAGTATTATGTCCATTATTTATGTAATAAAAAGGATTGGTCAAGTTGCAAAGTGTCTTCGTCCCGAATGATCAGTTATTTATGATGAAAAAGTAGGCTTACAGCTTATGTAGACAAAGTAGTTAGAAGTATTCGTTATAGGTAGTAAGTCTTATTCATTAGCCAGTTACGAGCTAACCAACATTTTCTCGGGAGAAATGTTGTTTTTCAAGGAATCACAACCAGCACGGTGGCTGGGTAAGTCCGGAGTATTGCGGGTTTGATACCCCATTTTTGTGCGATCTATGAATAGTTTTTCCGGGTCTGGTTGTAATGTGTATGTGGAATTGTATGTTTGTTAACGCACCCACTACACACGAGGCGTTTATTTATAAAGAATAAAATAGCACTTCTAGTTTACAAGTTATTTCTATGATGCAAGCCTTTAATAGACACCAGCAACTCCAAACGAATCAAGGAGCGAGAAGGTTTGACCTCACATCACTCACAAAACGGCAAAACATAACGTTAGCGTTGATTCAGGTCAGTTTTGTGGTAATATCTATCGATAATGTGGTATCTCCAGTCGAGCCAGACCATTCGTGGCGCAGCGTTTAAGTTTTGAACTCAAAACCACTTTCGACCGCATAAATCAGTCAAACATGTTTTTAACAAAGAGCATCTGTCAAAAGTGGTTTAGCCAAAGTTTTGACTGGTTATGATTTTAGACTGTAAAGGACTCACAAGAATTGTACATTACCTTTAGGGGGTCCAAACAAGACAACATCCATCGCTTTGAGTGCAAGTTTCTGTTTGTGAATCGGATCTTTGATGCCCAACACGTTGCTCAGGTACTGCATGTTGTTTACAGCTAGTCTGTTGACAAAATTCATAGTAAGTTTTATTTGCAAATGAATTGTTCCAATAGGTGTTTTTATTTACTTATTAATAGATTTTTGTAATTTTTGTAATGTAAATCAATGTTCTAACAACTTTTAAACGTTATCGTTTGAGAATAGACCAGCTGGTTCATTCTTTAAAATAGTTTTGATGATTATTTCAAAAGTACTACGTTCGTAAATACTACAATTATTTTAGAAGATGAAGCAGAGGTACTTGATCTTGTAAATTTTTAATATTGTTGTAAGACGTAATGTAGTAGTTTGTATGATGTGTAACAGTGCAGGTCCTATTAAACATTTTTAGATGGTAAAATAAATAAAAATGGTGCCCTTCTAAATAACAAAGCTCGGACCTTCGACGCCTTTTGCCTCACGTTTAGGTTTGTTTTAGCGACTCCTCTGTATTTGCGCCCCACAGAACCAGCCCTAGATGTATTTGATGTACCATGTTTTATAGATATCACAGACGAAGTGTGGCTGATTATTAGAGCGAGTCTATGAACTATCTAACATAAAGATCATTCATATAAAATCGGAAGACAGCAATATGAATTGTATTTAAATATTAGGAGTAAACGGTTCGACAAATGGGTCAATAGATGGCGTTGCTTTAAACCTCCACCGCGATCGTGTAAGCAAATAAATACATTCGAAAATGCGAGTCCGATCTCAAATTACTGGACTAATAAAACAAATTCTTTAGCACTAGAAGGCTTAGGTAATACTCTATTTTTAGAGAGTTACACATGGTAATTTATATACTGAGAATAATAATTACATTTATACGTACGTATGTATTAGGAACGTGCTTTTTACATTACTTTTAAATAAATACCTCAAATGACTCAAACCCAGTAATACGATAACTAACAAGAGACATAACTTGAAACAACCATCTATCTAAATAAAATGCGGTCGAAAAGGTAGGTAGAAAACTGGCAACAAATAGACGAGTAAAAGTCTATACCTGGGCAGGGTAGCGCCTGTGACTTTGTGTTGCAGGAACAGAGTCTTGTATTGGGGCAGATCCACTGATTGAGACAGCCATTCCACCGTCTGCTCCACCGTCCAGTTGTGAACCTGTAATTGAAGATAATAATATTAACGATAAAATTGGAATTGAACATAATAATATTAAAGTGTGGCAGAGCCAAGCTTCGGCATGAATGGGTCTGCTCGACCGGAGTCATACCATGGCCTCACAGAAAACCGGCGTGAAACAACCACAGCGTTGTGTTTTGCCGTTTGAGTGAGGTTATTGGAGGCCCAAACTTTCCCCTCCCCCAATCCCTAATCCCTAAAAGGTCAGCAACGCACTCGTAATTCCTCCGTTGTGGATATCCATGGGCGGCGCTGATTGCTTACCATCAGGTAATACGTTTGCTCGTTTGCAGACCTATTGCTCGAAATTAACGAAATGAATGGAAGAATCTGGAAAGAGCGTCGACGTCGGAATTTAGAATTAGAGCATATCTTGCTTGTTGTTCTTTGTTTCTAACTTGTGTGTTCCTTTCCATTCAATGGATCACAAGGTTCCGGACTTTTGGAAGTCGTACGAGGGGCCGAAGCCAACTCGCAGAGGCCCGTTGAACAACTTAAATATGTTTCTCATTATTATTATTATCGTCAACAGGTTTCAAGGGTCCACTGCTGAGCAAAGCCATCTCACACGGAAAAAGAATAATCATTAACAACCATGCATGTTCAAGGGTGATTTGCGATTTCAAACTTACTTAGATATAATTAGAAATTACAAGCTCAAGTTTCCTCGCGATGTGGTTTAAGGACCACATCGTATGTCAGTGGTGTCTAAATCATATGGCCAAGTACATTTAAGTCACATTGGCGAACCGCACTTTTAAATGAGTGATTGAGATTTTTACTCTTCCCGCGTGTGTTACCAAATGAAGAACCTACTGGGACAAGCCTACCACGGCCTACTAAAACCGCTAACTAGTAACTCTTGTAAGCTTATATCTCAATTCTCAAGTAAACACTATTGTCTTGGATCCTGGAGAAAAACAAATCAGAAAATATTATTTGAGAAGAAAACCAACGTAATAGTTTCCAGTCCCAAAACCAATATACCGCAAACACCAGTTCGCTAGTCAAGCGTGGATAGTATAGCTAACCCCTCTTCTATTGAAACTTCTACTGAAAAGCCTTTCAGAAACCGGGTGTACCTGGTTTCTGAAAGGTTTCTCCGGTTTCTGAAAGCCTTTCAACGCTAAAATTAACTAATCTCCTGTTAAATCTCTTGTCAAGTCATCTGATTGGTTGTTGATAATTCACACCTGGTTTCTGAAGGGCTTGTCAACGCTAAAATTAACTAATCTCCTGTTAAATCTCTTGTCAAGTCATTTGATTGGTTGTTCATAATTCAGTCAACCAATCAGATGACTTGACAAGAGATTAAATTGATTTTAATATTGATCGTCCTTTCGGAAACCGGGTGTCAGTCAACCAATTAGATGACTTGACAAGAGATTAAATTGATTTTAACATTGATCGGCCTTTCGGAAACCGGAAACTAGTCTAGCAATGGAGTCCCATAAAGTGACAAAAAAATCGTATTTCTAGAACGTTCCAGAACTTTTTACTGACCTCAGATCTTAGCCACGCTTCCCAGAGCTCCTTGACGGAGATGTGCATATCATCATTGTGGTGGAACGCCCTCTGCCGCTTCTCATACCCGCTGTCGTATTGCAACTCCTCGCGAAGAAACTGTAAAAACAAACAATTATGATATTAATACAATTATGATAGTAACTAGGAGTATATGGAGTATTTTAGTCTCTAAACTATACACTTATTACATTTACAGTTAAAAAGCTAACTCTTAACTTAAAAGTATGTATATATTAATTTTTTTGCAATGTCCATTTGTGAAACCCCGTATCTTCTCCTGCTCCAGGTCAAAGCCGCGATACCTAATAGCGCTTAACCCGCATCCCCGCTAGATAATAATATCCATTACATAGTGGAGAATCAGCATTGCACTCGTGAGAAAACGGTTGGTTGCTAGTTAAAATTTAAGCCTAATGAATGATTGGCCTTTCATCATCTCTAAGATCAATGAACGAATAAACACTCGATTGAAGTGGCATCTGCATCATCGAAGTACCTATAATCTCGATAATGCAGATGCCATTTATAAATAACCGAAACAGTTTTTTTTTTAATTTATTTATCATTTTTAAAAATATTACAGGATTATTTATGTTAAATAGTTACAAGATCGGAACAGATATTTCCTATAATTAAATACGTACATGACTTACGTATAAAACGTAAACGCGTTATGTAAAAAAAAAACAATTGAACAATAAATAAGGTTGTAGTGAGAATCCTTGACATGGCAATATATTTATTTATTTATTTAAACTTCATGCACAATGGGTACATAGGCGGACTTAATGCCTTAGACATTTTCTACCAGTCGAGCCTTGGGTGATGCAGAGATGAGCCAATGGTCGGTGCAAGAAGCAATATACTTTTTTCATTCCACGAAAGTCATGGGACTTATTTTCGTTGAATTCCATTATAATAGTTTTTTATAGCCGTACCATACAGCTGTAGCGTCATCCCCGCCCCTGTTTCGCAAGGGTGCAATACTGATATTATGGTCATTATCTAATGAATATACTCTTCAATTACTTACTCTATCGAATGAACCATCGATACCCTCATACACCCAACGAAACATATGCTAGCGAACGTAGTCTTGTCTTGTCTAATACGCTTTTAACAAAACTTCTGGTAAAAAATGTGACACCGACTTTTCACCAGTACCTAATAAGTTTTTTTGTCCTATGGCCTATCTAAAATATAAATTTTCAACAAGGTCGGATCCACCGTTGTGGGCACGATGGGCATGCACACAACCTTAATACACTTGTGATTGAAATAGGTTTGGATCGAAACTGACTATAAGAAATTAGAAGAAATCGTATCCGACTTCTTCCTAAGTTTATTTACATTCCTAAGGCCAAAGTCCTGATGCTCAGAAAAAAGGAAATCTAATTCATAAGTTCATAAACGATTTGTATGATTGTTAATGAGCATGTCCTTGCTCCGACTCGTACTTAGCCGATTTTCTAGTAGCTGTGACAACCTTTTTTGAAGTCTGGATCCGCGCTTGATTTTCAAGAACACTGAATAAAATGTTTTGGTGTAGCCTGCCAACAGCCGAATAGGTACTACATTGTCTTCTGGACAATGTACCTGAAAATGTTCTTACTATCCGCACAAATGCAGGTCAAGGTGGACTGCACTTTTATAGAGTCAAGGTCAGGATAAAGAGCTTCACGAATTCAAGTCTTAAGGTTTACTGATCCTCAAATTTCCAGACTACTACGAAACTAACATTGATGTTTTTTTATGGGAAAATCTAATAGCCATTTCTGTCCGACCTCAATACGGCTTTGAAATCCGAACTACATTTTATGCAGTTTACTTATTATCTTGTGCTTGTACATAAATCAGATCCTTGAAGCGGGAACCACGGAAATCTGTTTGGAGAACACCAAATGCCTTTTGAAAGAAGGACAAAGCCTCGGATCAGGCTAATTAAGCTAAACAGCGGATCTTCAGACAGAGAATATTAAACAATCCTTATCCTTCGCCTCCGTTGACATGAAACTAAGTTAACCTGGTAAATTTTCCTTATCTTCTAATAACATTAAAAAATTAAAATTATAAGTAGGTTACGTAGATTTCGGTTTTAGAGCCAAACCGTTTCAAAGACAATACAACTTTATGAGAAACTAGCTACTCTCTCGCGGTTTGACCCGCTGCTCGGCTCCATTTAATCGTACCGTGATGTTATATAGCCTATAGCACCCAGGAACATTATAGCTATCTATCAGTGAAAGAATTTTGGCAAGCCGACCAGCGGTTCCAAAGATACAAATTTACAAATTTTACCTCTTTATAATATTAGTATAGAAAAGATAATATTGAATAAGCTTTATCTGATGTGGCGATAGAGTCGCCAAATAAAACCGTAACAATAATTTCATTGGAGGGATTCTACACAACATTCATAAGCAGGCACATTATAGGAATTCTTTGCCGACACGTGTAGTGTTATTAAGCTGCCAAAGAAGTGAAGGAAGCCAAGTAAATGTACCTACTTAATTTAACATTTTTATATGGCTTCTTAATCTTAAACTCTATCAAAAGCAGGTCTTTATAATGACATTTTATGGCATAATATTCCAAAAAAAATTGATCATTACAACTCACATCATCACTCTCGCTGAGGTCAACGTTCCCGTTGGCATCGTCATCAAGCTGCCTGTGTAGCTGCGTGATGGCTTCGAGGCCAGCCTTGTCCTGGAGACACGCCGGCTCATTGTGGCACGCCTCGAACAATACTGGAAACAAAAACAAGTACTAATATTAGTATATGTATCTACTTTCGTCGACACGTACTTAATTGTATAGAACTTTGATTCACGACTGCGTTGCTCTTTCTGTTGTATTTTTAGCTAAAAATCGGATAAATGTAAGCTATACAATATAAATTAATGCCTTTAATGACCCATATTCCGGACATTAGGAAATCCTAGAAGTTATAACAGGTGGCTCTGTATCACAGTATTTTGTGGATTCTACCTAACATCAAGTGCCGACTCCTGAGCGAAGGCTTATTCTCACACAGATAATGTTTGAATATTAATTAAAACGGATTGGCAATTCAAAAACACATAGGTATTATAAAAAAATATAAATCCAGGTTTCCTACCGTATTTTCCCTACACTGTAGGTCAGTCGTGTCAAAATAAACTTAGAAATTACATATTACTTGTAAAAAGTAACATTAACATTATTAAGTAACGCCTCCTCATGCTTGAGAAACCTTGCCTTGCCCCAACGTTCAAACCAACAATAATATTGATTGTTTAATTACCCTTATCACTTATAAAACTTAATCGTGCAAGTAATCGGACGCAATGCTGCATACAGTAGAGTAAGAAAACTTAAATATACTAATAAATATCTACACGAAATATTTCCTGTTTACTCGCTACTAGTTCTAGTCACTGACCGCGAAAGAACACACCTCCCACGCATAGAGATAGCACACAAATTAATAAATCTACAATATCCGCATTAATAACGTTAGGTAACAACATACTTATTGTTATTTTTATCATATTGTATATCAAAACATTTCGAATTATGATATCACACCTAGACCCGACACAACAATTTGAGGATCACACAAAGAATAGAAACTATCGTGAGACATGCTAAATTTATTGAATAACGACTACGTGAAATAGCGTGCGCGTCGCATCATGAATAACAGCCCCGTTGTGACTCGAAATTAGTAGAGCTTTTCTCGATAGTTCACGTGAATAAGATTTTTTCAATAAATCACATAAAGAGTTGTTCCGTGAAGGATAGCAACCGTATTAAAAAGAAAACATTGTCAATTTTGACGTAAAAATCAAATTTTGGAAATCCCATCTTAACACGTGCACAAGACATTCGTATTGTCACCTGCTTTGCACCTGGTCTGGGTTTCCTTTGAAGTCACAAATACTAAACCTGCCTATCAGACACAAATAAGGACGCTTACGAATATGTGTGTTATCAATAAATTATACTATATGACTACCTACGTTCAGTTTTACTAAAATAGAAAATGCAATATACCAGGTGACTTAAATTGTGGATCTCAAAATTGAAATAAGTAAAAAAGAAATGGAAATTCTAAAGAGCAATTCTCAACGTCTTAGGCAATGTTAAGATAGATTTACATAAATTAAAAACATCAAAAACAGCTTTTTCGCGCGTTTCGAGATTTGTTTTTATAATAACTATCGTGAGACATACTAAATTAACTATAAATCGCGGGTTACTCACGTGAATATATTGAGAAAAGCTCAACTAGTTTCGAACAACAGAGGGGTTCTTCCTCATGAGCAGCGTGCGCGGACGCGGCGACGTCGCGCAGCCTACTCATCTACAGAGGGGTTCTTCCTCATGAGCAGCGTCCGCGCACGCTGCTCATGAGGAAGAACCCCTCTGCGGTTCGAAACTAGTAGAGCATTTCTCAATATATACACGTGAGTAACCCGCGATTTATAGTTAATTTAGTTTCGAGATTTCGTTATATTAATGAATAATTTCTTCTCATATTCCTCCGATTCATATTAGCTTCTAATTCAACAAACCCCCAAGCGAACGAAAGCGTGCGGTCATCTATTGTGTCTCGAATAACCACGATTGTAAGGTTAAATGATTATTTGTGTTACTCTATGTATTCTATTTAACTTTCTCTTAACTATTCTACTCGTTTTCGCTAACTAATACGGTACGATTGGGCTGACATATCTATGATAAAAGACACTAAAAAAATCTAGATAAAAAACAACTTTTTCCAAGCGTTTCTAGATGTCGATATTACAATCTATTTTCGAAAACTTCCGTTTGTTTTATCGCAGTTTAAATTATCGCCGACATTAATCGGTTATATATCGACGTAATGTTTTATATACATAAACAAACGAAATAGGTAATACCACGATAAATATTTGGGTTAATTGAAAATGTGATTAATGAAATATGAATTTGATTAAGTTTTTAGAGAAACAAGAGATAATAGAAGCGACGATTGATGTATTAATTGCGCCTTCTATTATGTTGGAGTTATTGGCTATGAAAAAGAGGTCAATGAATTAAAGACCAACATTAAACTGGATGGATCAAGATGATTTCTGTATTTGTCACTTCGCCTGGGAGACCTTTATATCTTTATGATAATTTTTGAAGAATACAAACACGGGGTACAATTCGAAGTGGGCTTCCATACCAAAAATCTATTCTCTTTTATTGGTAGGTAAAATTTGTAAGTTTGTATGTAGAAAGTAATCTTTGAAACTGCTGGTCGGATTGCCAAAATTCTTTCACTGATAGGCAGCTACAATGTTCCTGATTGCTATAGGCTATAAAACATCACGCTACGATCAAATGGAGGCGAGCAGTGGGTGAAACCGCGCGAAATTAGCTACGTACCAATAAAATAGTCGAAAATGCTTGTCCTGACCACAAAAACACTAAATTAGTATATACAATAATCTTTCATCAAAGTAAAAGTGAAAAATAAACTAGGTATTACAATTAGTTACAGATAATTATCTTCAGACATACCTATTACTCTGACAAGATTTACTGTGAAAATACGTCAAAACAAAATATGTATATTTTTTGATTCGAGGACCGAAGAATCGCTACAGTATACAATCACTACCTATACATTTGTTTAGTAGTAATCTTATGCAAATAAATAGTAAGTATATGATGGATCAATTCTAACTTCATGTTAGGTATATATATGTATAAAACTTCAGCGTGTACCTAAATAGAAACGATAACACCAATACATAACATTCAACTCTGTACGGATAATTTGAGGGTATTTACCTATGTACTTGTTCGATAGTACGAGGCGACACAACCGAAAATACAAATCATTATAAACGCACTACGCCATTTTTTTTCTTGATCACTCTAATGATTTATCATAGTTTGTGTCAACGTTTAATGTTAGATATTAAAGCCTACATTTTACACAACTTTTTAAATCTCTGGCTAACCGATGTTGGCCTTGAACATCAAGGACTTTTTTATGGCATAGGTCTGCAAACGAAGATGCATATTATCTGATAGTAAGCAATCTGCGCCGCCCATGGACAGTCGTAACAAAAGAAGTTATTACAAGTGCGTTGCCAACCGGTAGGTTATTAAAGATTTAAGTATTGAGGATGAAGAACCTACTTACCCGGTGCCGGTGTCTGTGAGACCGTAGCATCAATTCGGTTGAGCCGGCCCATTCGTGCCTAAGCATGGCTTTCCCACAGTTCAACAAATTGACTAATATAATTCTATAACTAATTTCTGGACACGGCTTGGTTGATAGTTAATGCCTCTCTCTAATAATGCAGTATTCGGTCCATATAACGATTTCACACCTAAACATTCAATAATAAATCACTATTGAAGATGTCCTATCATGTTAATCAACGATCTAAAAGTCAATTCATAAAAAGTATTGTGTCTACTCATACAAAGAATCTTGGAAAATAACCGAACAAACATTTGTATGAACTACAGCCATTGCTTCTTATAATATAATTCTGCGTACCTATCAGTGTTAATCTGCGATTTGTTTAAGCAAACGCACACCCAAGCTTCTTCCAAAAACCCGTTCACAGAGTCTATTATTTATTTAACGGCAATTACAAGAACCCAGTGTATTTAAATATATTCGTTTTTATTAGGCAATAGAAGTTGCTAGCGTTTATTTCATTATCTAGTATTAAAAGCCTGTCAGGGTCATCCACAAAATGGCTTCATCGTCACCTCAGGAAAGTGATAAAACACGTACAAATACAATGATCGATGTTAATGAAGAAAACATTGTGATGATATAGAAGTCGTTACTAAAATAGGTAATGTAGTAAGTTTTGTTTAATCTTTATATAAAGGCTTATGTGTCTATGTAAATAGAGTATATGAATATGTCTCCCTGCCTTTGTAAATAAAATACTTATAATTATAATGAAAGAGTGGTAACAGCCTGTAAATAATTCCATGAACTATGAAGGGACTGAAATAAAATGTATTTAATTGTTGTTTTTTTTAGTTTGTTTGGTAGGCTATGAGCTACCAAAAAATGCCATTGGATTTTGTAAACTAGTCAGTTTCATATCTATTTTTCCGCAGTTTTCGTTGATACATGTATCAAGTAACAATACTCTTTGAAAATACGACAAATTAACTATCAAAACAATGTCATTTACCACGCCGCCCGACCAGAAACAAACCTGAGCGTACGGTGCGTTGAGTTCCGCGCGCGCCACAAAGAGCTAATAGACCCCCACAGACAGGGCCTTACTAGGGCTGATGTTTAGCCAAGGTTGCGGGGCAAGCGCAATAAGGCGTTTAGTCAGTAAGAGTCTGACACTGTCTTTCGTCGCGGATGACAGAATTCATTTGACAATATTCCCCTCCCAAAAAAAAAAGACTGCAATAATATGAAAACACCAATAATTGAAGCGATTTTACACCATTTAGTTGGATTGGAGTCATAAACGTCATTATCGACATCAATTAAGAGACAGCCCACGTGGGCCGAGGCTAAGAATAGTTCAGCCGGCTTGAGATCACGAGTGTTGTAACGTAACAAGTTATGCTATCGTAAATTGGACTAAGCCAGTAGGCCGGGACACCAACTAAATGGGTGAATGGGGCTTCATCCTATTTATATTATAAACGCGAAAGTTTCAAGTATGGGAAGGACGCATGTTTGTTACTCTTTTAGGTAAAAACTATTAAACATTATAGCGTATTATACATTACAGTC